TTACATACATGGAAGTATAGAGAAATGGTATCCAAGTTTGTAATACCATATTTACGGTTGCTGTCCCTTTATGCTACCCATTCACAAACAACACAGAGTAAAACATAACAAAAAACTAATCATTTTGATGGAGTTCAGAGAAATTTAAAAGTCTCACAGCCTGGGAAAAGAAGCTGCTCTGGAGCGCAGTGATATGGGAGTGGATATTTCTCTTGCCAGTCGGCAGCAGGGTGAATAAGCTGTGGCTGGGTGGGTATTGTTATTCTCTGGGCACCATGCAGGCACCTCAGTGATGCTCGGCAGAGGAGTTCTGGGCATTTTACATCACCCGCTGCAGAGCCCAGCACAAACCATGGCAATTTGATGTTTCCAGTTTAGTATAAATACAATATTTACATTTATTCATTTAGCTGACGCTTTTATCCAAAGCGACTTACAATTGCTATACATGTCAGAGGTCGCACGCCTCTGGAGCAACTAGGGGTTAAGTGTCTTGCTCAGGGACACAATGGTGGATGTTTCACAGCGGGAATTGAAGGTCTCCCACACCAAAGGCAAGCATCTTATCTATGCGCCACCACCACCCCTATTAGACTATTGTGTACAGAGATAGCATTTACAGAAAACATAATTGGAAAGAAAAATACATTTACTGGCTTTTTAAATGCTCCGAAAATTGTATAGGGTTTGGTTGGTGGCTATAATCTCTACTGGACATCAGTATTTCTAAAATCCTTGCTTCTGTAATGTCTGAAATATCATTGTATGCTGCAGCAGATTTATCTCAGCTGGAACTAAAGGGCCTAACCCAAAAAAACACAAAAAAAGCCACAGATCAAAAGTGGGCAGGGGTATCCACATTTCTTTTTAAGACAATGCATGAGCAGTTACTGGATGGTTTACAAATAATTATTACTGTCTATGATGCAGAAGTAAAGCACAAAGACAGAAAGTGTCATCATAATGTTTCATATCCAGCAGACTTGTATATGTTTTGCAGTACAAAGCCTATTAGAATAACACATCCCTAGTAAAACACCCTGACTCCAGTGGGTTACCTTTATCACAAGCAACTCTCTAATAACCATGGTTTTTGTCATTTTTCAGACATTTTTCATGAAATGTATAGAAATGAGTAAGTAGGGCAATATGTAACGTTACATAGACATTTGTTAAACCCCAAATATTGCTAAGGATACCAGAACCATCCTGATTTCAAGACTCTGCACCATATCACGGTGAGATTATAGCAGTTTGAAATGCTTCCCACTTGGTTCTGAAATCAAAAAGAAAGGAGTGATAAGCGGCGTACCGCTGTCAGTGGAAGATGAGGAATTTCACGGTATTGAAGGCGAGTGTGAGGCGAGAAGACTTACAAGATTCCAACAAGGAGAAATGGAGCAAAGTAATTCTGTGTGTTTGACTTTTGAGGGAGATTTGCCAGAGAGGGTATATTTAGATTACATATGTTACAGGGTGAGGCCTTATCAAAGAGCTCCATTAAGATGCTTCAGTTGTCAGGAATATGGACATGTGGCTGCAGTATGTAGAGGAGTCAGAAGATCCGGGAGATGTGGGGAGAACAAATGTGAAAGAGAGGACTGTGAAGAGAAGCAAGAAGAAGCAAAGTGCCTTCACTGTGCGGGAAATCACCACGCGGGGTCAGCACAATGTAAGGTGGGCACTGTAAATTTATTGCACTGGAGAAACTATTTCATCCAGTAGGTGGCGGTAGTGCAACATTTTGGATGTCAACCGCCATAAACCAAAAGAAGAAGAACGACAGCCGAACAGTGGAGGGCAGCAAAACGCCATCGATGCGTCGAGTCAGCCGAATTGAAGAAGAAGGCGGCTTCTGCATCGTGCTGTTTTTATCTTAGTTAAAACGACTCGTTGTTCAGATAGCATTGTCCAGTACATTAATGGGGGACCGATACGCATATAATATAGCCAGATAATCCCATAATCACTTTTCAGAAAGTCCGACAAACGAAACTAGCCAGCTTTGTATGTAGCTAGCCAGCCCAGGAAGGGGAGAGGCTTCGGGTTCCCGTTGGACGGAAGCGGTTTATATTAACCTCTGGTGCAGTCACTTAGTTCTGGCAGCATGGCAGGAGAGACGAAACCCCGTTTTATCTTTAACTTTACCTCACGGCAACAGAGATGAACCGGGCGGTTCGGTGTCTCTGGAAGAAGACTAATCGGTTACCAGAGAAAAGTCAAACATGTGAGTATTAACGCTATTGTGAACCAACTTAATACCACGTTGGTCTGGTCACCAACACGTGGCTGTTCTGCACGGGCCAGAGACCAAACGGATCACCACGCCGTGTTTCCTCTTCTGAAACAGTCAAAAGTAATGTACTCTTTCTTACATTGACCTACAAAACAAGTCTATGCGAAGTTAGATCTTCATTCACATTTTCAGCCCTAACTTGGTTCCCGTATGTAGTTAAGTAGACGTAAAATCTCAAAGGTCCAGCTAATTAAACTTGTGTTCAAGATCTAATATTTATTCCTCAGCTGACCTTTTCTCTTTTTCAGTAAGTTACATGGAGGCTGGCGTCGGCACCTGGATGACTTTCAAGGCAGTTGAGATGAAGAAACTTAATGTGTTTTGCGGGTGGCGACCACGGGTAAAAAACAAGAGGCGAGTTACTGAAATATGAACAAATAAAGGATATGAAGGTGGTATGCCTAAATATTCAACGTGGTTACTTTTTTTTTTTTAATCCACTTTACATATACAGCTGAAGCTGGTACACAGAGGAGCCCGGGAGCTACCTGAATTAAATCTCCCAACACTTGAGGGTGAGCACTGGGATCAAAGTTGAATGCCTTGCCATGTGTGAGTTCATATTTAAGCATGTGAAACTGTTTCAGCCTATGATGACATACTTAAAATAAACTTTTCTGACACCTACTATGAGAGCTGAACTCCAGCTCCTGATTCTAACTTTTTTCTGAGGCTCCCCCCCCCCACCCCATTAGTGTAGTCTTCACCTCCAAAATTGTGACTTTTCTTTAACTTTTTTTTTTCTTTTAATTTCTCCACTTTCTCTTTAAGAATGAGAAGACTGAAACTCAGAACTGGCTACACAAATGTCCTGAGATCGAAGTTCTTATTGACAAGGACCTCGCTGGATTTGAGAGCTGGTGAGTTTCTGCAGCATGTTGGCATTTGAGTAACTTGTAGCCGGTGATGACAAATCAAATTACTTTTCTGACACCTACTATGAGAGCTGAACTCCAGCTCCTGATTCTAACTTTTTCCCCCTGAGGCTTCTGAAGTGTATTGTGTAGTCTTCACCTCAAACTGTGACACTTCCTTAAGTTTCCACTTTCTCTTAACAGTTCGGACTGTTGGGGTAAGAATGCGAAGACTGAAAACTTCAGAGCTTCTGAACAAAGATCCAAGGTCCTGAGATCGAAGTTCTTATTGACCAGGACCTTTGCCGGATTTGAGAGCTGGTGAGTTTCTGCACCACGTTGGCATTTGAATAATTTTACATTTACTCATTTGGCAGATGCTTTTATCCAAAGTGACTTACATTTGAGGACTTGTAGCCAGTGATGACAAAAATCAAAACTTTTCTGACACCTACTATGAGAGCTGAACTCCAGCTCCTGATTCTAACTTTTTTCTGAGGCTCCAACAGTAAATGTGGGTACACGTTGTTTTCTTTATGTGAATTAAAACGAGCTACTCTCGCTTACAGGTTGATTCATGACACAACGATGGGGAAAGTGCCTCTTCATGATGATGCTGGTGATCTTGTTTTTATTTTAAAGGTAAGTCTGTGCATGTGTGTTGCACATGTGTGATACAGCCAATGATGACAAATAATCATTTTCTGACACCTCGTATGAGAGCTATTTGCTCCTGATTCCAACTCTTAACCTGAGGCTACAGAGGATATATTTCTGTTTGTCACAGATTGTTTTAGTCTAATCTGCATTTGTCTCTTTCAGGTGCCCAAACACCAATTTTTTTTTTTTTTTTTCCCCCAATGTCACCACTGACCAGAAAGCTGTTGTTGTTCTAAAGGAACAAGCCTGAATGAAGACACTACAGTGTGTAATATGGTTTAATATTGAAGCTATTGCATCAAACTGTTGACTTGTATTTGTCGAATAAACAGTAACTGAGTTGGAAACATTTTCTGAATGATCTGTTGTGATTCAAGAAAACCGTAGTACTTTTGGCCCAATAGTCTAGCATGCCAACCATAAAATAACTTTGGCACCAAATTTTGATCCAGCTGGCCACAGACCTGCATGTCAATTTGATTTTTAATAAGTTTTTATATTTGAACTTCACCAGTGGCTTAGAGTTGATGTTCACCACATCAGAAGACATTCCCCTTCCTTTTTAGATGTGAAATTAAGTGTAAGTTTAAGCTGAAAAGATGTGCTTACATACTATTCATATGTAACTGAAGAATTGTTTCTCAAATGGTCATAATTGAAATTGGAGGTTCATAGGACAACTTAAAGGTTTTGTTTTTGGGTTTTTTTATTTGGCCCTATTATAAAACACTAGCCAGTTTGCCAGGAAAAGTGAGTTCCAGTCCTGTATTTTGACACACTTGCTGACTTTTGAAACGGGGTTGAAACCCTGACCCACAGAATAACCAAAACAATAGGAAGAAGGAAGAAGCAGGCACCATGTGTAGTTTATACTGCTCAGTGCTAAAGCGGATGCAATATAAATGTTGGATCCCATAAAGTTTGACTTAGTGGTCTGACGAAAAATAAGTCATCTAGAAACCAAAACCATATAAACTGGAGTATCATTGTGGACATGTTTGGTCTTCAACCTCACATTTCTTCGTTTTACTTGGGGATCTCTGGAGAATCTAAACACACAAACCGACATTGGCTCTGGTCATGTGACCAGAAATTAAAATTAATTCCCGGGCTGTTTTCCCTTCGGAGCCCGTCCTCATTTGCGTGTTTCCTGCCTCTGCTCAGCCTCGGCGCGTGTCCGGATTTCCATACAGGTGCGTCCTCAGCTCCAGCCCTCGTTTGACTGTCAAACCAGGCGGCGCGGCTCCTTTCTCCGCCCTGCGCATCCCGCATCCAGTCGCTACCAGAGAGGAGCGCAGGGGAGTGCCCTGCGCAGCGGACTGCCGACACACACACACGCAGCCTCCTCCCTCCTCCTCTTCCTCCTCCTCCTGCACTGAAGCCGGACTCCTCTGCCAGGGAAACTCCGCCGACTCTCAGCTGTTATTGTCGCTGTCAAAGCCCCGTTTGCATTCTCCACCAGCCGGCTGCACACAAAATCGACCAGCGGTCCTCTCCGGTAGGCCTGACGGTAAGAGCGGTTGTTTGTGCGGGGGGTGGGTTTAATGCGTTTCCATCCACATCTAATCACGATACATCTGCGTTTGAACTGCTGTTTGGATGTTTTAGGTACACAATGACCAGCTATACTCGGCATTATCCTCCTACACACTGATGTTTATGTCAAATGCGATTTAATTTACTGTAAATGTGTCATCAGTAGCCTGAAATGTCCCTGATTGCTGAGTGATAGAGACTGATGTCACTGTAACGCATTTAGATGACCATATAATTAAATGATGAAGGCATTTTCACGGAACAGCTGGCTCCAGCAGGATGGATGCTGGTGGAGGAAACAGGCACCGTGCAGGCGACTTACTTAGATCCATTAAAACGATGAAGAGGATGAGGGGGGAGGAGGTGGTGGGGGGGGGGGAGGAGGGGGTGGGGGAGGAGGAGGGAGGCAGTTCCCAATAGGGAGGACTAAACTGATCCATGGTCGGCCTGAACTCTCATCTGGGCCCTCACTCGCTTCCTGCTGTGGCAGGGTGGGGCAGAATTTAAAAGAAATAGAAATAAAAGCCAGCAAATGCAGCCGGCGCACTGAAGTGACCGAAGTTACTGAAGGAGCCAGCGATGTAAAAACAAACTGGATTTCCTCGAGTAGCTACTGTACTTCAGTAGAGTACAAATACCTTTGACATGGTGCAACTTGATACTACAATACATTTATGACAGTAACTAGTCACTCTGCAAAAATACAGTCAGTATCCACTCGGCTGCCAGTTTATTAGGTACACCCAGCAAAAACTAAAGCAGTGTAATACTACAGTCCTGCAATAAATCCTCCCTTCATGAAGGTTCAGTTTTTGTTGAAGCTGGTTTAGAGAGAAGTTGATTCAACACTATGATCATTTTCGAGAATGTAGTGCTGTTCAGCTGTTTTGCATTTTACAGAGAGGTGAGTGTGTTGTTTAGCTTGCCCTCATTGATAGGAGGGCAAAATGATAGAAACACCTGTCTGTATAATGCAATTTAAACTGCATGAAGGTAGGATTTATTGCAGGAATGTTGTATTAGACTACATTAGTTTTAGCTAACCTAATAAACTAGCAACCGAGTGTATATTTATGCATATATAAATACTTTACATATGGCACATATTATATGCTCCTGTAATAGGCTTCAGTGCTATAGATAAAACTAACAAAAGCATAAAAAAGCGGTTTGACTTAACTTCCAAGGGGACCAACGACAACCTTTGACATACCGTATAATACGCTAATACTCTTCTCAATGAGTATTTTTACTTTTGATGCTTCAATACATTGCTGCTTAACACTTGTGTCCTATTACTTTACTAAATTTCACACCGTTACATGGGCTGACATGTTCCTTCATTGCGATGATCATGGGTTGTTTATTTTGAGTCAATCACACATACACCAACCTGCTGTCGTTAAATAATGGAGCACCAATAACAGAACATCCACATGTGAAAATAGTCCCCAAATAAATTGACATATGTATTAATTTTTGAATATAGTTTGCCAAAAGCTACTGGGCTCAGCTATGGAAGAAAAAATAAGAGAATGTCCTTCACTAGTGGAAGCACTGATGCTTTACATGAGTGGTTAAGATTGCTTTTTTGTGAACTACTCACAGCAAGTTAGATGTGGTCTCAATTAATGGGTCAACATATCATGTTGACAGTAACTATTATTATATTTATACATTTATGTCCTAATAAGGTCTCCAAGGAGGCAACCATCTGGTCTATAAGGTTTTCTCAGATATTGTCAAATCTATCAAAGAGAGCAGCTGTTCCCACCAAGGGGTCACAAATATGACCTAACAAGAGAGGAAAACAAAAAAATATTTCCGCTTCACACGGTCATTGAAACAAGCATTTTTCAGACTAACTTTTCATCTGCTTATTCTTATTTTACATCTTAAACTTATTCAAATAAAGTGAAGAGAAATCAGCGTGAAGTGGTCACATCCAGTAGACATTTGCAGATACAAGAAGAAAATACAGTTTTGTTTTAAAGAGTCACAAGCCAAAAAGGTTTGGAACCACTGAAGTATATTGACATCCTGATTGTGCAATAAAAACTGCAGTTTATTCTGCTCTATTTTCGTCTTTCCAAAAGTGAAACTTAAGTCACGTATCTACTCAAGAGAAAGCAAAATTTCTGTCGAATGCACTAATTAAAAGATGTTACTGCTGCTGAACTCGACCGCAGAACTCAGTGTCACTTTTCACAACAAAACGTCTGATTTTTATTTCCACCAAGTTTTGATGTGACGCTTGTGTGCCCGAACTCTTAAATCAGCTCGAGCTTCAATCTGTTCTGTGTGTCCGAACAGCAGAAGCATCATGGAGGAGTTAGACGTCCCACAGATGAGGAGAGAAGTGGAAAGCCTTCAGTATCAGCTGGCAATCAACAGAGAGAAATCCTCCATCACTGTCACCGAGTGTGTATTGTCCACACGCACGCACGCACACACACACTCTCTCTCTCTCTCTCTCTCTCTCTTAAGTATCGCATATCAGATTCATGCTGACGGTGTGTGTATTGTTATTTTTTTTGGCAGGCTGGTGAAGTGGATCGAGGGTTGTGTTTGTGAAGATCCATTTCTGAACCCTGAGCTGATGAGAGCCAACCCCTGGGTAGAGAAGGGCAAGTGTGTGATCCTCTAATGGTCACACACACATACACACACACACACACTGTCACAAATGCATAAAAACGACATAATCATGCACTCCCATACTCCTTCATGCTGAACTAACTCTCTCTCTCACACACACTATTGCTGTTACCATGTTTATTTATTGGGAGACTCCTGAATGCTTTTTAATTTATGTGAAGACTACTGTGTGAGTGTACAGCACTGAGTAGCTTTCTAGAGTTTGTTTTGATGGGACTGCTGGGAAATGTTCAACAACAACATGTTTTTATTGGCTCTTTACACTGTCAATCAAAATAAAAGACTGTTTTGAATTTAACAGCTGGATTTTTGGATTTATTCAGACGGATTTAACACAGGACAAAGAAATACAGATGTTACTGAAGCAGTTATATGTGTGTGTGTGTTTCGGGGGTTACAGTAGTTCTCTGATGTAGACATTTCGTCTGACAGCGTTGGACATGCCCTCGTTGAAGCGGAACCACACATCACTGTTGCCCACTGCCGTTCCCATAGACAGAACTGGACATTTCTCACCTACGCACAGAGGAAAAGGGCATTTTTAGGTTAAAAAAAAAAAGAATAAAAAACACTACTGGGATGATTGAAAGAAGAAAGAGGACCCGCTGGTTCTCAGGACAATTGCTCAAAACATTAGTCACTTAATCTAATAGTAAATTGAAAGCAAAATGATTGAAAACAAGTTAAATGCCTGTGACTAATCTAGGGCTGCAACTAACTATTACTTCGGCATTAACATAAAATCACAATTTTCCAAAGCCCAATGTCATGTCTTCAAATTGCTTGTTTTATCTGAATCCAAAAAAATATTTAGTTTATTATCACAGAAGAGTATTAGACTATTATAGAAGCTGGAACCAGTGAGTTTCTGGCATTTTTGCTTGAAGTGTGAAGAGATTATCAAAATTGTTACTGATTCATTTGATCAACTAATCGATATGGCTCTAGTGAATTACTCTCATGCGATTAGAAAGCCTGAACACCTTTGGGTTTTGAAAGTTCACTCTCACATTGTGGCAGCGTCATGTTTCACAATAGGGTGTCACTTGAAAATTGCAGATCTATATTTCTATTTCTATGCAAGTATGGAGTGTTTGTCAGAATTAACAGGAAAGCAAATTATCTTATGGTGCAAATTTGGTGAAGTAATCAACCAAGTAATCAGGACACAGGATGTAGAGCTGTGCCTGTTTTAGTCCGCAGAACCCTGTCACCGTTCCTGCTTTGACCTAAAAACAGCCACAGTTCTGCGTTCCCACCCTGATTACCATGTTGATCAATTCTGGGAATGCAGTGCTTTCAGAAAGCTTTAATGGGTCCACCTATAATTGCCACGACCACTGAGCACTGACTTGGAGCCTGTTACCAATTGAATAAAAATGTACCTGTGTTTGAATAGCAATCGCATTTATCGCCTACCTAAACTTTAGAGAATTAAAACAAGAGGTCTTTCACAGAATATTTGTAAAACCTCTTTTTCCTCCACGCTGATAGGAGCAAGTTGCTGTGGTTTTTACACTTAATGTATATGAGAAATACTGAAAATATAAACAAAAGCAATTACTAAAAATGATATGAAGTCACAGAGGAACTGCAATATGCCTTTCCAAAGCTGTATGCAAAGTGGAAAACACTATTTTGAAAGTATTTTATCTCAGGTGGCCATTTTGGAGGGGACATAACAAACAAGCTTTTCACTTCTCTTCAAGACCTCTATTGTTTATGCAAATTTGCTATTTTGGGTGTGGAACTGCGACGCATTTGAACACAGCAGTCATCTTTGTTTTCAATGACACCAAGACACTGGGAGGCCGAGCCCCAGTAACTTCTCTCCAAACGTTTATGATGTTTTTGAAGCTAGAGTGACTATAGGACTTTTAAAGAAATGTAGCAAACTAAGTTATGTAGGCAGTATTATACATTTTATTTACATAAATAAATTTACATGAAGGCTATTTATTGTCAAATATAAAAGGAGTAGAGCTGTATATCAGGCATTTCAAGTATTTTATGTTGGTAACAGAAATATGACATTATAGCATTTATAGTGGGAAAATGCAGGTGGCAGTGCTCCTGCCTACAGTCTGCCGCAGGGGCTCTAAATTAGTAACGTTACATAACACAGTCAGTAATCACCTCTGGTGTGTTCGGACCTGATGTGCCTTAAGGCATTTTTCCCTAAAGAGCCTGTGTTCTCAAGAGGTTCAGAAAAAAAGAAGCTGCACCAAAGTCACACAGTACCTGTGTCTGAGGACGACTGCGGCCTCTGAGGTTTGGGGGCAACAGCTCGACCAAAGAAATCCACCTCCGGCTGCAGAACACAAACACAGAGTGACAAGGAGGATGAAGTTAGTCAGGAACACTGTCCTCAACAAGCCTCACATGCATGCACACACTCACACCCTCTCATTAGCCTAATTTCCCAGTTTCACCATTAGGGACTGTAACCCAGTGGCTTCTAATTATCCTCATTTCTGCCCTCTAGAGGTTCACTCTCTCTGTCACTATGGCTGCGTTTCATTAGTCGCTCAGCATGCCCCGGTTGACTTCCCCTCGGCACTTGCCCTCGGGGGAATCCAAGCCGCCACGACAAGTGTGTTCCATTTGTCAGAAAAAAACTTGTGAACTCAGTGAGAGCGACCCCCGGAGGGCCGAGGGAGCACGTCAACAACGATGGTCACTCCAGAGGTGTATATATCACCCACAATGCATTGCAGTCATAAATTTGTTGCTAGAAAATACATCCATGGTTAGGGGGCAGTAATGTACATAAATTTGTTGCCTAGTTAGTTCTTAAAATTTAATTCATAGCTTGATATGTTGTAAATGTCATGCAACTAACTGCAGTTAATAGTTACATAAGATTGTTGTTCTGTTACTTCTTTATTCCCAAAGATATCCATAAACGCGTGGGGAAACTGTTGTTTTGCAAGATATCATAAACCTGTAGCAATTACAGTTATGATAATCATGATACAGATCACAAATAGAAATGTCTAAATCAGAAACTGTTACAGACGTATTGCATTTATGCGTAGAAGACGCCTTCGCCTCATTGAAAAGAATCTGTATTTCTGATGATTAGTAAAAAGTAGTACAGTGCTATGCCAACAACTGGCAGTGGATCCATAATAGTTTGGTGCTGAAAGTGTACAAGGCCAGATGAGATTTAAAGGTTAGGTTTGTGGCCTCCGTGCAAAGTATGTTGTTGTATAATACTAAGGGCTGAGGAGAAGTGAATGAGTAATTGTAGTGAAACTACTAATGAAACACAGCCTATTACTGAATTAGTATATCTCTGCAGTTCATCCACAGAGGCTGTGATATTCTGTGCAAACCCGGTGCAAAAAGATGCTGACTACTCCTCTCTGGCTCCACCTACAGGCATCACGTAACACTTTCAACTGTGAGAAGCTCAAATACTGGTAGAAAGTGTGTGCTTCATCTTCAACCACCTAGGTACTCAAATAACCAAAGAACCCCCACAAATCCTTGACAACTATTTAATGAAAACTAGCTGTGTAAATGGCCAGTCTCTGAAAAGTCATCTTGCAGTGTTTTCTACGTACAGTTTATCAAGACATCGAGCACACCTCCCCTGGAGGTTTGAAGCTACACAATGTCACATTGTTTTCATGCCCCCCCCCCGGCATCTGAAAAAAAGGGTATGTGGATTTGCAGAAAAATATTGACCTCAAAATCACTAATCAATAAAAAAAACTGAAGAGTTAAAGACATTTTTTTATGTTTTATTCAAAATTAAAATTAGCTAATTTTTATCTTGAACTATGTTGAGGATTAAAATGTATCTTTGAGCTCCATCTACACTGATAAATCTTGCTCTGTATCTCACCAGCTATAATGGTTTAAAAACACTATCACAAATGAGTGTGTCCTCCAGCCCACTTGATGTAATACCTACAAAGTTTGTAGTGAAAGTAATGGATTCTGTTGGCCCCCATTTGATCTCTGTTTTTAACAGCTCCCTATCTACTGGTTGTGTCCCTGATTATTTTAAAACGGCTTGCGTGAACCCGCTTTTTAAGAAACCTGGTTTAGATCCCTCCCTCCCACAAAATTTTAGACCAATTTCAAAACTGCCTTTTATTGCAAAGATTCTAGAAAGAATTATTTGAAAAGTTTCAGTCTGGTTTCACAAAGTATCACAGCACTGAGACTGCCCTGCTTAAAGTCACCAATGACTTTTTAATGTCTGCTGATGAAGGCATGTGCTCAGTCCTGGTACTCCTGGACCTTAGCGCTGCTTTTGACACCACTGATCACAACATCATGTTAGACAGACTGAGGCACTGGGTGGGGATCTCTGGTACTGCCCTAGAATGGTTTTCATCCTACATGTCAAATAGGAAGTTTTGCGTGTCTGTAAACATCTTTGTCTCTTCGTTCTGTCCAGTTAAATATGGTGTGCCTCAGGGGTCGGTCTTAGGACCCATTTTGTTTACCTCGTATCTGCTTCCCCTTGGACATATTATCCATAAACATGGCATTTCCTTTCATATTTATGCTGATGACACACAAATGTACTTGCTCGTCAGATCCACAAACACTGGAATACTGAGTTCACTTACTGACTGCCTTTGTGAAGTTAAAAAATGGATGTCAAATAATTTCCTCCAGCTGAACTCAGACAAAACAGAAATCCTGGTCATTGGGTCTTAATGTGATTTACTAGGGAACCAGCAGATGGCAAAACAAATACTGCCATCTGCTGGTTCCCTAGTAAATCACATTAAGCCTTTTACAAAGAACCTTGGTGTCTGGTTTGATAGTAATTTAAATTTCGAGCAACACACCACAAAGCTTGTTCAATCATGTTTTCATCAACTTAGAAATATAGCAAAAATTCGATCTATGTTAACTTTTAAGGACATCGAGACCATTTTACACGCCTTCGTCTCATCACGCCTCGATTATTGCAACAGCCTTTTCACAAAAATCTACTGATCGACTCCAGACTGTCCAGAACTCAGCTGCCAGGCTTTTAACCAGAACAAAGAAATATAACCACATCACCCCTGTGTTAGCTTCATTATACTGGCTCCCAGTATGTTTTAGAATTTACTTTAAAATTTTATTGATCACTTTTAAAGCTCTTCATGGCCTCTCGCCTTGTTATATTTCTGACCTTTTAGTCCCATACACACCAGCACGTACCTTGAGATCCTCGGGCAGAGGTCTGTTGTCTGTTCCAGAGTCTCGACTGAAAACTAAAGGGGACAGAACGTTTGCAGTCAGGACCTCGAGGCTCTGGAACAGCCTGCCCAAGGAAATCAGGTC